ACAAAGCACAGGGCTTGACGTTACCAGGGCCGCCCACGGCACTCTACTAGAGCATGGGCCACTTCATGGGCAGAGCGAGCAGGGGCTACTCCAGACCAGATCTGCAGAGCAGCCACTTGGTCCAGTTTCCAGACCTTCGTCAGGCATTACAAGCTGGACCTTATGACCCAACAAGACCAGGCATTTGGCAGTAAGGTCCTGCAAGCTGTGGTCCCACCCTAGGAGGTAAGATTTGTGCTCACTGATCCTCTCATTGGCTGTCCTGGAAGATGACTGGGTAAAACATGAGTTGATTACCTGATAACTCTGTTTCCAGGAATCTTCCAGGACAGCAGATTCCCGCCCTTGGTTGGTATCCAGGGGACGTCCGTGATTGGATGATAGAGGGGATACTTTGAGACGTTTGGTAGCCTTCAGTCCTAGAGGGTACTGAATTGGGATGGAAGGAGGGGTCTATTTATTTAAATGTGGTTGATGTGTTTCCTGTTGCAGGCAGGCGGAGCCTTATCTCATTGGCTGTCCTGGAAGATTCCTGGAAACAGTTATCAGGTAATCAACTCATGTTTTCTTGTGAAACAGTGAGGGGGAAAAAGCCAGGAAGTGACCATTTTACACATTTTCAGGCATAATTGCAGGATTCCTCATGCTGTAATGCATCCAATAGGGCATTTTGCAACCCATTACTCCTTACCTTCTCCACTCTTTATCACCTATAAGACTTTTTTTGGCGCACAGGTGCATCAGGAAAGACGTGTGATACATTATTTTCACAAGCAAGAACTTTTTTTGCCACTTGCAACTTCTGTATCAAATTCACTTGCTGCCCATTCACACCTGAGAGTTTTGGGAAAATGCACAAAAAAATTGCCCTATGACACACATTTGGGAAACATGCCAAAAATGCAAAGCGCTTGCTATGCCATTACCATTATTGGCACCCCAAACACAGCCAGGAAGACAAATTTTTTCCTCAACATTTGCATGCATTAAAATGCACGAACGCTAAGGAAAAATGTTGAATGCATGTCCCATTTTGCTAGATGCTCTACTTTTCCACATTTGTTAAAATTAATGGTGATGCATAGCAAACGGGGAAACAAGCACGCACAGATGCGACTTGCGTTCATGCTATGCTCGCGTGTGAGTAGGGCCTCACACCAGCGAATGAGCATTATGGTGCGTCTAATATGGATGTGCACTGGTGTGCATTTGAGATGCATTGTAACAACTTCACAGTGGTCGTTCACACAAGCCCGCACACTGAAATGCATGTGTACTGGTGGGAGTGGTGTGATGTGTTAAAACACATCACACTGTTTACTTTTATTTTAAACTTTATTGAAGTGTCACAAAATAGCACTTTATTTAACGCTGCACCACAGTGCATTGTGGTGGAATGCATTGAGGTGCGTTGATGTGCAGAAATGCTACATTTTTTACACAGCACATACCGATACAGTTTTATTGTGTGAGCAGGACAGAGAATACAATTGTTTTCTGTTTGTACTTGTGTTGAGCCTGCAATGACACGGTGTGAATAAGCCTAATTAGCAAACAAAGACCTTCACTCAATTATATGCAACATGCTGCTGTGTGTGTATGTATGTGTATGTGTGTATATATATATATATATA